TGTTGGCATAATGGCGTTTAGGCGGGGTTCCTATGGTTTTGTTTTCGTTGAATAACGCGCCGCAGTGACACGAAAGCGGGAAAATTATCGTTTGTTTCCTTTGAAACTAAAAAATTTAGCTGCAGCTTTCTGCAGATGGCTTCTGATGCAACTTCTCTACAAATATTATTTTTATACAAAGGTGCAAAAGATGCTACACATTATAACTGGGCGATATCATTCAATTTAAAATACGTATCTCTATTGTTCTGTTCCAAATCTTTATTAGTCTAACTTAAAAAATAGATTTTGCTTTTTGAGAGTGATTATAAATATTGTGAATTTATTGTGAGCTTGCGTAATGTTAGCTCCCAACGTCGTTTTTGCTATTTCCGAAAACTGACTCGGCTCATGCTTTCGCAGATTGCATCAGTAGACAATGGATATATAATGAACATGAAGTAATTAATTTATAATCACAAAACTTTTAATATGAATGGTTTTAATTTAAGAATTCATTTATTAAAAATCTCTGCTCTTAATATTAATACACATTTACGGAGTTAGCACAAGAAGAAATAATACTTTTCCTCTCTAGGGAAAAAAATCGCTTCCTTTTTGTATATTAAATTCACCACACTACAGTGTTGTAAGAAGTATAATCTCATAGCAACAAAAATATAACGCCCGTAATAATCCTGTAGGTACTGCTACCAAAATGTAAACAAACGGTATGGAGGTGGAGGTGGAGGCTTGGGCTGGAGGTGTACCCTCCAGCCCAAGCAAAGTCAGGGCGTTCTTAAGCGTAGAAGAAATGATGACATCAGAAGCCATATCCAGTCACGAGGACAGATCTTTCCTAATGTGTGTGGCGTGGTATAAAATGCTTATATGCATCGGGTCCTTCGGTACAGCTGTCAGTGTCACTAACTTTTTCCTGTCTGATTAATTCAAACTAAAATTTGATTTGTTATTTACTTTCACAATCAACAGTTTCTTCAAGGTTTCACAAAGTCCAAATCTTGACCTTTCTCCAAGCTAGACCAGTCTTAAGAACCACAGCTCGACTGCTTGCGAAATTTGCTTTCAAACAAAGTAACCTTTCTCAATTTGGGTTATACTAGAGCAATATAGATGCAAACCGGACAAAAAGCTATGAAATAACAGCATTTCCTCTGCATAACAAGTATATTTGTTCAAAATGTCTTTTTCTAGACTTGTATACAAGAAATAAATATCGAAATCAATTAAGCATCGAATCAGATTCAAGCATTCATTTTTAAAACATTGAATCTGATTCTGTATTACGAATGGCAAGAAGCATCACAGCAACTTTTTTAACAAGGTTCATATCAATAAAGTTTATGAACTAAAAAACAGATTTTCATAAGTTTTACAGTGAATTATGAACAGTACGAAAATATTTTTTAGCTAACCCTGAACTCAATGATTTGCTTGTTAGCTTGTAGAGACATTAGGTTAATTGGAAGCAGGAAAGATGAAAAATTAACAACGCCTTCGCCGAGAATCGAACCGTGGACCTCCGGAATACCGTCCAGTGTGCAGATCACCACACCACGAAGGCACGCCAAGAAGGTGGGAGAAATACCTTATAAGTATGATTAGGATAAAACCTGTGAGGGCTATTTGTCCAAGGATCCTTCGATGAAAAATTTTTTAAGAAAATGGGTTCATATTTATATTACACATGGGTCAAAACAAACTATGAAAGGCCCATTGCAGGTATTCCATTCACTGCGACTGGAAACTAAGCCTACTAGCGTTCAATGGTCTTATCAATTCGACTACTAACGAGGCTTTCAAATTACATGGTTAAAATTCCGGCAAAGTTATCATGATGATGATGAAAGGGTTTAATTAAATAGCCATTGCTTTACAGCACATTATCAGAATTATTGGATATACGAATATTCTACATTGTTGCTTAACTCAAAAGAGTGCTGGAGCAAGATTCAAACAAGAAAGTCCACAGACACACAAAATTTTCCAAATCACGATGGAGTCAAAAAAACTCACAACTTTGTATTCCAGAGGAAAACAAATTTTAAAAAAAATAATAATCGCACCAAGTTGAACCAATGCAGAGCAAGCGCCTTTCTGTCTGTAGACAATACGAGAAACAATTTATTTACTATCCCTCGCCTTAGGCAGGTAAGGTACCAAGATGAAACCTCTGTGGCACCCATCCGTCATAATGAGAATGATAAACAGAAACAGAAGACTACTTATCCTTCTTTATTACGCCCGCCGCAGAAAGAGACAGAAGTACAAGTTTCGTGGGCAAGGTTGCCACGGCGAAACTTTAAGGCGCAGCCAAAAGTATTACCTCCAGGCTATCATTCTGGTTAGACCATTAGATAATGATCGGTTTTTTGTTCCAGCCTTACTTGGCATTATTCTTTCTTTTTTAAAGGGTAAAATATAGGAATTAGACTTAAAACTGGCCACTTAGGTGCTGCATGATAGTTTCGCACATGCTTTTATAATCCCTGCAGATCCTCAAAACAATTGTTCTGTTTATCGTACAAGAAAGAGAAGTAAATGTTATTGTAACTCGCGAAAGCGATGCTTTTTTTAATTTTATTAGCCCCAAGGAGCGTTAGCTCAGAAGCGCTATTAATTTCGTTTAGGCATTTGGCGCCGATTCACTATTCAAACTGTTGCCACCAAATATTATCGCCCTGTTTTATATTTAAAGAAATTAAATAATGAAGAATCTGCATAAATGTATGTATGTTTCCCCTTATTGTGATAAAACAACAGTACCCAGAGCCATCCAATTTTGAATGACGTAATCCCTTTCCGAATATGGACATCAGGAAGCCCAAATTTGGAATTTGTTTTATTAGCTATCGCATATTTTGTAAAGCATTTATGAGTTTTTGATTAAGAAACTTCGCGATTTCAAAGCTAGCAAAGGCAACACTGTACTGGGGGGGGGAATATCACCAGCGCGCGAGACTGCGTATCGGAAATTTTAAAGGTATGCTGATTTTAAAATTATTTTACGATATTGCTGTTAAATTGAATTTTATGGTTCAAGTGCGAAGAACGTGATATTTAGCAAATAAAGGTAACACAGAAAACGTTAAAAAAACGCCCCCTTTGGGCATAATCTAAAATCTGAAATTCGAAATTCTTCAGATTTTTTTTTTTTTTTTTTTTTTTTTTTTCCTTATTTATTTATTACGGGCTCCACTACTAGGCACTACAAGGAAAGGGAATGATACCCTGCGGAGGACTTTTTAAGGGAAACTTGGCTCGTATACACGTGAAAGCTTGTTGAACATCTTATACTCTTTTCTATAAATTTGGCGTAGCTTAATAATGAAAGAAAATCAATACTGAGAAAATGAGATAATCCGGCCCCCCCAAAAAAAATCAAGTGATTTCGTACTGAGGTCATATGTATAGGCTATATATATGCCTTCAGAGAAATCTTTTAATATTTATGATAATGCTGCAAATATTCATGACTATCATGGTATATATGGTTATATTGTAAATTAAATGAGTCTTAAATTATATTGATTAAATAGGTCCCTAAAAACAAAATAAATAAATAGTTAATTCATCAAAATGAACTTTTATTTATTTATTTATTTTAATCTTTAATCGTGTATAAGCTTTACACTTAAGATTTAATTTGATTGACTAAATTTGAAAAGTAAATAGAAAATTTTATGCTTTCCCGGATGATCCCACTCTGCGAAGGGACTGCTTGTGAGACCTTATGAAGGATTCATTAGAGACCTTATGTTTCAGTATATTAAAATAACCAGAGGGGGCTTAATTTCTAAAATCAAATGTACCGGAACTCTATGGAAGGCTGTGAAGAGAATAAATAAGTAACTGAACAATTAAATTGAAATTGAAATTCAATTAAATACAAAGCCATACAAACCAAAAAGGGAGACAGCGTAATTTTTCAGGTAAAAATGAATTTAAAAGAATTCTTGTCAAAGAATGGAAAAATCTTTAATCCTTTGTAACAGGAGTCTTGTTGAGTGTATGACAAGAAGATTACAAGTCGTAATCAGCAAGGGCCTTATTAATATTTATAGACCCTCTGAATATCTTCTTTGTATTATCAAAATATTATTATTAGAATACACTTTCGTTCTCTAAATAATTTATTAGATTGCACCGCATGAAATACTTTCAAAACGGTACTTAAGATGAGATTTCACATAAACGACTAGAAAGTAGTCTTTTATCTCGACAGAAATTAAGTTTACTAATTAAATACTACATTCTTTTTTTCGGAGAGGGGCATAAATTATTGTACTATTAATCAGTTAATCAGCCCATTGATGGGCTCCCGAGTTTCTAAGAAAAGTTGCGCGTTTCTTTTACAATCTAAATAACAGCTGTTAGTTGCCATTACAACTAGCTATCATTTTGTAGGATATAAGTTTAAAAATAAGATATAAGTTTTAAAAAAATTAATACAAAAACTTTGTAGACGCATTATGTATGTTTTCTTGAAAGAATGACTGGTAGAGAGATGTTTTTAACATAGTTGCAGCATTCTCCAAATCTTACATTCTCCAGATCTTTTTCCTTATCATACTTTTCAGAATATCGGGCGTAAGAGTTACATATGAGAAAAAGTTGATAAATTGTGTTAGAGAATTGTTGTCTCCGTTGGTGAGCCTACAATCAGATGTGCTCCGCGGGTATGCTATTATCAGAGGCAAGCATACTTAGCTTAATTAACAATTAAGTACCTGTTGAAACTTCAGTGTATAGTTAATTGCTTGATCTTCTAGGTAGCAAAAAATTTTTCAATTGTTGTAACAATGCAAAAGTTTTTATACTATTGAAACGGCAATCTAGTATTTGATCAAATAATTTTGAATTCAGTTTAATGCAAACGCCTTTTCGTAGAAACTTAAGGTAATACTGAAGTCTTTTTAAGTAAGTCTTTTTAAACTTCTCGCTTCCGATGCCATGTTAACTACCTGTTTGACTAACTTTCTCTTTCCTGTTCTCTACAGGTGACTAGCTACGACGCATTCCAGGAATGGTCGGATGGGCATTGTCGCTTCGTATACAGACCAGACTGCGAAGAAGCGAGGAGGCACGGCTCTGGATGGGCAATGCGCAATACCAATAACCACAACGTACACATTCTCAAGAAATCATGTCTTGGAGTGCTGGTATGCAGCGCCCGTTGCACTTTGGACTCGGGAGATAAAGTCCATCTCAGGCCAGCTATATGCGACAAGGCCAGAAAGAAACAGCAAGGTAGATAATGCTTTTGTCTAATAATAAACATAGAAGTTGTTCTATAAGTTAAACATCATACGGATTATTTGGCACTTTTCAGGACGTTGTATAGCTAGGCGAGGGACTATTCAGACTTGACAGCACTGGATTTGTAACTTTGGGATCAGTTAAAAGTTTTGCTTTATGCCAAGAAGGATTTTGATCTACGAAAAACATGTATAAGACTAAAATCTGCCTGAGATTAATACAACCTTCATCGAACGTGTGTTATGGAGAGGCAATTTGGACTTTTAGATTTACAAGCAAAGGTTATTTTGAACATATTCGGGAAATTCTCCGTGATACTGGATTTAAGGAATACCTTGTTTAAAGTTAGATCGCTGATAAATTAGATCTGTATTCATTTTGGTACAAATCTCCAGTACCAAATCTTGACAACTATAACTACATCCCTGAATGTAACTATTCTGGATAACCGATTCCGAATAAGCCTTTTTCGTTATATTTAAAGCATTAAAATCACATAAAATACATTATTATCATTTTCATATTATTTGCTGTTGATAAAATTTGAAAATAAAGGTTGTATTCAGAGCCCTAATAATCTAAATTTATATTTACTATTTCTGGTAGGAGATATGTTAAAAAAAAGAATTAAGAGATTCTGTAGAGCAGTTAAAATTTAACTGACAATTTTAAATTTAACTTCTATAGTACTCAAGTTGAGATATAATCTCATGTTCTAATTCTTATATTATTTTTTTTGATGTTACTTAGAGCGGAAGAAGTAGTAGATCTCATGTTAAACGTACTTTAACACTAAAAATTATTAAAAAGGTGTTAATCCTGTTTGCCGCATATCGAATATAGACAAAAGGTGGTTCATCATGAATAAAATTTTTCCTTAATATTAAGATAAAAATAAAATACGATTAAAAAGTTTTATACTGAAAGATTTTACTTAAAATGGATATGATAATTAACAAAACTAATTAAAAGAATAAAAATCATTTAGCATATAATTTAATGGGGAATAAGAAACTAAGTAATTCTATTTAGGAATTCATCTACAGTTTTATATCGCCAAAAACAAAAGCTTTATTCGCCTAATTAATGGAATCCTTTAATTTAATTACATTGCAAAATGCGTATAATATTCATTTTTAAATTTATCATGAGCATCCTATATTCATGATCTTCTGATCATGTACCCTTGCCCACAACCTAACATCGGTAGTTTGACCTGGCTTCGAATATCGTGCTGGCTGCATAAGCATTCTCATGGTTTTTCCCGTACGTAGCATGAATACGAGACAATTTCCCTTAGAAAGTCTCTATGAAAGCATCTCTTCCCTTAGACAAATAACCCTTGCGTGCTTTGCCGTAATCAAACTAAACAAATTATTGCTATCCCGTGTTTGAGAAGATTCCAGTTGCCAAACTGGCAACCTACTTCTCAGTCAGATAACTGGATTTCATTCCAAATTCCAGAAACCTAATTTTTTTCGTAGAACGCAGCTTCATAAAAGGTCTCTTGTCTTTTATATTTGCTAAAATTACTTATCTGAAATTCTAATACACTTTTTTAATATCTATATAGTCAGTCTTTTTCCAAAAAAATTATTTCTGGTCACTTACATCCTGGAAATAATTAATTTCGTTTCCAGGATAAAGCCCTTTCGAACACATATTTCTTCAATTTTTTAACATTTTTATCTTTATGGTAAGATAAAATCTTTTCCTATTTCTATTTTTATCTTTATGTAACCAAACTCAGATGGTGTTCCTTATAACCACTAGAATGGAGCTGGATTGCTCTATAATCATTTATATCGACCGAGAAGTATTTTTCGTCAAATTTGTCTCTTTTTAATAAGTTTCTAACATTTTGGCATTATTAATACAGGGTGGCCCAAGAAGAATTGAATCTAAAGCAAATGAAAAACATATGAATTGTGAGGCAATATTATATCGGGGGGCTTAATATAAACTGAACCGGATATGAGAGAATTCGCTTGCTTTGGGTTCAGTGAAACTCGATATTACCTGTATCCGTTAACAGAAAAGGTAGAACGGAAATAATGTTCCTCTAAGTCTTTTCCAAGTCATCTTCAGAATCTGGACAGAACCATTGCTTTCAGACAAATGCTGTCAACACTTCATTCTCTCTTCAGAACTATAAAAAACCTTTCACTATTCAGTTTCCTTCAGCGAAGCTGTTGATTATTTTGTTCTGGAGCTTGCGATGGAATCACAAAATGAAAATTATCCGAAATCACTTGATATTGTTGCGAGTATTTGACTTTTACTGTGATAATTCGTGGGGGAAGGATAGTATTTATAAAAATCCTCAATTTAGCTAAAGTCTTCGACCGTGTCTGGAATGAAGCACGTGCTATTTATAAGCTAATTTATTTTGACTTGGGAAGGGGGTTAATTCTCCTCATCTGTTCTTTTCTACTTAACAAATCATTCACAGTCATTAACAAGTCCAAAATTTAAACTCACTAGCGAAGACAGTTCACACTGGTGTTCTACAGAAATCAATTTCTGCTCTATTTTATACCTTTTTTACGCCTACGATTTTAAAGGAATTGAGGATAATACAAAATTATCTGTCCGCTTGGCTATGGGTACATCACACAATATTAACTAAATCCAAAGAATACAGGATAAAATGGATGGTGTAGAAGCATAAGGGATGAAAGACTAATTCATAATAATTAAAAGTGGGAGAGATGAAAGATTAATATCAACCCAGAAAAATGAAAACTGCTCGTAAAATATAGGCAGGATCATAGTATTATACCGAATATCACACATTTTGACAACAAAGTATCTTTGGTAAGACAGGGAAAGTATCTTTGTATAACACTTACACAATTTCTCTTGGTAAAAGCACTTTAAGGAGATGCTGAATCATATATTGTAATTTTCAAGCTCAAGCCCATTCTTTTCGATTGTTCGAAAAATTAGATCTTAACCACGAAAGGCATCTTTACATTTCAACAGTTAGGCAGATAATTACGTATGTCTTTCTTCCTTCGGCAAATGTTCTTGACAGGCGCATCCTCATCCTTCAGACGCTTCAAAATAAATTCCATAGGATTATTATTGGTGCATCTTACTTCATCAAAAATGTTGCCCTACACAACGCATAAGAGAATTGAGATTGCATGTTACTCGTAAATTTCTTAACGATGAAAATGAAAACTCACACACACAAAAAAAAAAAAAAAAAAAAAAACTGGATAATTTTCTTGAGCTTTCATGATTTTACCCCATGCGAAGGAAGATCCAACAGGTTCGTGGTTTATCCCAATCATCTACTTGGTTTCAAAGAAACATCTTCCATCTCTACAAGTAAATGTTATCGAATATTTTTATATTGAATGAGGGTACAGGTTTTATGTTATGATACTATGATGTTCATACTATGAGGTTGGAAAAGCAGTAAATAAATGTTAAAATTCTATATGCTTCTTTCGAACATTAGAATCAAATAAAATGAGTTCCCAGCTATGTGACAGCAGAGTTCCGTATATTAAGAATTCATGTGATACAGATTCATACAGAACGGGATTGTTAAATTATAGCAAAACCCTCGAGTGTTATCTGCCTAAGGGAAAAGAATGAAATCTTTTGACAAGAACTAGCTCATATTTCATGCTATACACAGGGAAAGCCATGAAAACTAACCATTAACCACTAGTGGATCAATTCGTATAAGATAGTGTATAAGTTAATGCTTTATCAGTGTAGGTATGCTACATTACTATATTTTTTCGGTAACATTTCTCTAACGACTGTAAAATGCAATCCTTATTATCTACTATCATCGAAAATGGGGAAAATAGTTAGGAAATCAAACAAATAATGTAAAATGTTAAAATACATATAAAACCATTTTATTGATAATAATTTTGTTTCTAATTTGTTTTAAAGTAATAACAATAGTGACACAGATCCTAATCGTGTTACCATAACGACCATTTTGAATCTTAATTAAAATATTTTCTTGCTAATAATTATACATACGGTTATCATATCTACCACTTACAACTTTTAATTGTTTATAAATTATGTCAAATATTAGTAGTATTTTCCATAAAACAACGCATTCAGTAATTTTATAAGATTGTGTTGGTGAAGAATCTTATGAAGCAGAATATAACAACAAAGCAAGCTTGATAAAATATCCATCCAGAAAAAAAAAAAAAAAAAAAATCAAAATCAACACATCATTTTAGAAATTGAATATTTTTAACTTTATTTCTAACTTCCTTATTCTAGGAAAGCCTTGTCCCAACCGTAAGTGCACAGGTCGCCTCGAAGTTTTGGCTTGTCGTGGTCACTGTGGTTATCCCGTCACTCACTTCTGGAGGCATACGGAACACGCCATATTTTTCCAAGCCAAAGGTAGCCACGATCATCCGAGGCCAGAACCCAAAGCTACTGCAGAGGCCCGAAGGACGCTACACTCTCCACTACAAGTACACAGGCGAACCAAAACGCTTCAAGACGCACTAGGGCTGGAATTACAGGTATGTTTCCAAATTTTTTAGGTTTCGTACAGAGTGCGATATTTAAATACCTACTTTCAAAGTAGAACAGCATGTTCCTTATTCATAGCAATAAATATAACTGAATACGCTTAGGCAAGTCTTCATGTTGAATTTACCCCCACCCCGGGGTTCGACGTAGAGCGCTCTATGAAGTACTGGCAAGGATCTGTACCTAGGCAATCTCAGCCACGAGGGTATAATATTTTTGAGCCTAGCGGTTCACGATGATCCGTGGGGTGGGGCCTACCTCCACTTTTCACGGGTCGGGTGCCGTAAATCCCCGTAACTAGGGCATCGGTAGCCAAATAGAGCCTGGGCCATTGAGTGTCCAGTCAACGCTGTCCTTGGTATTCCGTGTAAGGCCTGGAGGGAGGGGTAGCCCGTGTAGTAATGGCGGGTAGCATCATTGACGACCAGTTATAGCTCCAGGCATTCAGCCCACCCCATTGTGGTCTCTGATCGCTTGGACGGAGGTCTTGGTTGACCAGTGTAGCGATGAGCTTCTTTGCACGTGGAGATCTTTTCGAAGCTGTCGTTCCCTGTGATGTGGGCACCAGGACCTCAGTTGGAGGGTACGACCATCTCCAAGGTGGCGCTTTTTGCTGGGACGCCCGCCCCTTGCCTAATATCGGGGGATTGAGTTGGGTATTATCAGCCGCGTAGTGTCATTAAGTTGACGAGGCGTGTAATAAATTCAGTTAGTTAGTTCATGTTGGATTTAGAAAACACACTTCTATTTTTCAATGCTTTGGAGGTATCCTACATGACACTCAGAGCACTGTTGCCACCCTCCATGTACATTTGCCAGAATGTTGTCCAGAATGTGACACAGAATGTTGTGCGAATATTTGCACTCTTCTAATGAATTACGAGGCGTATTCGGAAACTAAGTACCGTTTTTAAAAAAAAATAGTAAAACAATTTTTTCGAATCCAATTTTATTTTTACATGAAAATACATGTCTTAAACTATTTTTCAACATAGTTTCCGCCAATGATCAAACACTTGTCATAGCGGGTGACCAGTTTTTGTATACCATCGTCACAGAAACTTCGCGCCAGTTTCGATAACCACGACTTCACAACATTTTTCGTGTCATCGTCAGATCCAAAGCGCTTGCCACCAAGCTCGCGCTTCATGTGCAGGAACAAGTGGATAGTCGGACGGCGCCAAGTCCGGGCTGTACGGCGGGTGATCGAACTGCTCCCAATGAAACTGTCGAATTAATGATTGAGTGACACCAGCAGTATGGGGCCGAGCATTGTCATGGAGCAACACAATTCCTTTACTGAGCATTCCTCTTCGTTTGTTTGAATGGCACGCCTTAGTTTTGTTAAAGTCTCACAATATCATGCCGCATTAATGGTTTACCTCTGGGAAGAAATTCAGTAGCAAAAACGCCTTTCCTATCCCAGAAGACAGTGCACAGGATTTTTTGTGATGACATTGTCACTTTGAAACTTTTGTTTTTCGGAGCGTGAGTGTGTCTCCACTCCATCGATTGTGTTTCGATTCTGGTGTGAAATGACACCCCCAGTTTCATCACCTGTCACAATTTGGTTTAAAAGAGTTCTCCCTCATCACTGTACCGCGTGAGAAATGTTAGGGCAGTACCAAGTATCTTGTTTTGTGAACATCAGTGAGCATTTTGGAACACAGTTTGCGATAATTCAAGCGGTCAGACACAATTTCGAACAAAACAGTACGTGAAAGAGTTGTCATTGTGAGCGTCTGATCTCATGAATTGCTCATCAACTTTCCTTACAAACATGGGTGACAACAGAAGGCCGACCACCCTGAGCCTCGGCGTGGACTTGTTCGACCTGCATTAAACATTTTACCCACTTTCTCCATTCCATCACTATCGCGTATTCACGTAAACTTCTGTCACTTGACGATAAATTCGGCGGTTTAACATTCTCGCGTTCAAAAATTTAATCACGGCACGAATCTCACAGTCAGCGGGAGAACTAATTGTCTTAAACATTTTGAATGTGCACAGCAAACTGGAAACACAACATAGAGCAACCAAAATGGCGACAATTCAAAGTCAGTGAACAAGAAAGACTAGTGCGCGTGCGCGGGACGCCTACCACAGCGCTGCGACGGCGCTAGAATGAAACGGTACTTAGTTTCCGAATACGCTGCGTACATTTAAGGCTGTTAATGTCAAGTAGGTTATGTATCAAAATTTCAGCTTTCAAACACCCTCATATAATGCGTCTGCTGCATTTTCTGGGTTACTTCTCTAACTTTGGTGATATTTGGTTACTTTGGTGATATTAAGTGGCTCTCATTCAATTCTCAGGACGCCACTGCAATATATATTTTTACTGGTGTATTTCGAAGCCAATTTTTTGCTTACATTCAATCTGCCATAAATACTTTTAAAAGAGTTCGTTAGGAGGTTGTAGAGTTTTATGCAGACGTTCTGCATTGCTCCATGGCCAGTGTATTTGAGAGATGCAAACAATGGCTTGACAATGGAAACAATGGTAAAAGGTATCTCCAAGACTTTGCATTGAAAAAGTGAAGCTGTCTTATGAATTCAACACAATGACTTACCCAGTCATGCTCAGGCATATTTATTACTGCGTACAATAGATGTGTTATCTTGCTCTGGGCAAAGCTAAATGCTTAATCTTGTATATATCTTTAAAAAAAAACTTTTAATGGTTACATGTTCAAATTATGTGATGATTTTCTGCTCTTGAGTGCATAAATTTTCTTTCCATACTCATAAACAGCATTTTAGTACGCATGCTAATGGTGTAAAAAGTAATAATATTTACTACAAAAATTATCAAATACAGATCAATTTTAAAATCTCAGTTTTCATTTTCTCAGTGAAAACTCAGACGAAAAGCTCTGCTCTCACAAAATATGCAAATTTATCTCAGATGTTAATTCAATAAAACGAGCGATTAAAAATTTAAGTCTATTAGATGAGATTATGTCAATAATAAACTATTAAAACTCTATAATAAATGTAATATTTGTTCTTTATTTAACTGAAAAAATGAAAAATTAGTAATATCATCTGCCTAAAAGAATATATCCTTCAGAGAGGACTTTTAAAAGAAACTGATTCGTATTTACACATCGTACATGGAAAAAATCACAATAACGCTCATGTACAAAGAAACATTTTTAGAACGATTTTGATAAATAATTAAAAAAAAAAGAGCAAATATTTTGGAATAAAAAATTTTCAGCAGCAGCTTATTATTTGAAATGAGAAATATCGTCGGCTACTTTTGAATTTATTCTTCATTCAAAATGTCGCATATAATAATAAACTAACTTTGGATTAAAGGATATGTTTCTTTGCGTTGTGAAAGACGTAGTATTAAAATTTCTAAGTGCAAAATAAGCAAAATCAATCTGAAAGTAAAAACCACCAACTATTATTTCTAGATTAAAAGAAGTGGTCCAAAAGAATATCCGATAAAGGTACGTACTGTTTCTAATGCTTCCAAAGTTGAATCCTTGGTAACAAAAGAAAACCCGCCGACGCAGAATTCAATTGCAGAGTCTTTAAATACATTTTTAGCAGCAGTAAATAAAATAATATAGCAAGATTTACGACTTAAAAATGCTAAAAAAACATAATGTTCACCAGCTTGTCCCGAGACGTACGGCTCGATGCAGAACAATTTATAGAACCCTCAGTAGAAACTATTTAGGAGGAGATCAATGGAAATACATTGTAGCCCTTGATGAAGCACGAGTTTACCTAAATGACTGCAACAAGAAAGGTCTATTTATTACCAAAATTCCCGGTGACTTTCAAAGAGTGAAACTTCATCAGACAAAGCAAGAAGTCATACTTCGAAAAGTACCATTGTATTCCTTGAAAAAACAGACTGAGTTTGTAGACCCGATAGCCTGATACAGACTATCGGGTCTTTGGTTTCTTAAACAGAGCTCTTTCTAACCACAAACCCACCACAATTAATAGATTCTTGGGAGTAGTGGAAGAGGAGGGAAAATCAGTACTCCTGGAAATTTTAGTAAAAGCCCTTCTATCATGGAAAATCATGATGCAGACTTATAGTATAGAGAAAGCCTATCAGATCAAGCATTTAAAAAAATTATTCTTTACATTTTAAACATTAATTAAAAGGATTCGAAATAGTTCTAAAAATGTGTAAACAATCTCTGTAGCTAATTTTACTGTTGGCATTCGAATTCAGTCGAAATACTCAGTGGTGTTATCCATTGGGCTACTAGAGAAAAAGAGCTTTGCTAGACTACGCGACGGATCCAGATTTGAATTGTATCATACACTCACTTCCAAAAATTAAGCACGGAGAGGAAAATGCTGACTTCTGGAAGCCAATCAGAATTGAAGAGGATACAATTCGCTGCAGAGGTACATGGAAACATGCAAATATGTTAGGTAACAGCCAATCGCGCTTTCATGTCAAGACATATGCAAAAAAGGCAGTCTTATAAGAAGCCAGCTTTATGAAGGGTTACAGAAGTTGATTGTAAGCTGATGAGGTGTTAAAAATTTCTTACAATTTGTTTTCAGAAATACGTTCTATTGACGAATGGAGATTCTGAGCGCTGGGTGATTGGGGCGCATTGAGCAGTACAGTCGATCATAGATGTTCTCTTTTCTTCGGCGTCATCATTCGTAATTCCAGTTATGAAACAATTCCAAACCACACAGACAGTTGTCCGAAGGCCGTAGCTGGTCGCCTAAGGGTTACAACCGCTCGCAGAAGATCGGTATATTGCTATTGTAGCCAAGCGGAATCGTAGAGCGACCTCCACACGTGTGACATCTATGGTTACAGCGTCCAATGGTAAGGCGATATCCGCAGCTACTGTACGCCAAAGATTACATATGAGTGGACTGTACGCCCGGGTACCTCGAGTTTGTGTTCCTTTATCCGTCCAATCAAGAGGGGCACGATTGCAGTGGTGCCGGGAACAATTGCAGTGGTGCCGGGTCAATTGGAATGTGTCTG